CCCCACCCACCTCGAAAGAGTCTCAGAGAGCATTAACACATAGAAAATGCTATGTTGTAAATTTTTGTGTAACGGCTTGTCGTACTTGTCGTTGTAGCAAGTGTCATCCCAAGACGCACAGAAAACCCTCGTAAACCCAACGGAAGGTATGTAATTTCAGCTCATTTTACAGGGTCCGTTCTTTAACAAACTTCTCCAAGAGAATTAATCCGATCGATTTCAAATTTGTGCTGTGCAGTATCAAGACATTGAAGATGAAAAGTTGTGCTGTGTGTGAGTTTTTGGTGAAAGGCGTAGTTGTGGCGTGGCATCAAATATTGATGATTTGCCATGAAACAGGAAGTTATTATAACTTCAGTGTTCATGCTCAATTCTGTACCAAACTTTACATGTTTAATAAGACTGAACACATCTACATGCCAATAATCACGGAACGTTATAGCAGAACCCACTGGCAACAGGGAGTAAGCCCTTTATGACAAAAATCATTTAAATAACATTTTAACAACACTTTCACAGAGTAGTCCGCAATTCATCCAGGTACACCACATGTAATTAGCGGGTGTTGTCTAGTGCCACCTTAAGCCTTGTTCACACTACACAATCCCGATTTGCCGGGCTGTGATTGGAGGTAAATCAGTGATCAATCAGCAGCCGCCAGTCGTTTTGTGTGAACTACTCAACGACACATCAAAACGGCTCCCCGACACATTTCTGACACATCGCCAATGTCTGCCAGATATCTAGCATGCCAAATATCTGGAAGAGTCAGCTGACTCGACATCCACATCCAGCCAATGAGAGCAGGCAGCTACTTTTTCTCTGCAAACCACTTTTTACTCCCCTCCAGCTCTCTTTGTAGCTCCCTGCTACCTGTGTGTGCTAATCCATTCTTTCACCCAGATTCTTTGTCTTCATAATCTCCATCTTTATAATAACAAACAGCTGTTTCATGTGCAGGATCGCTCATTTCACATTTCACGTGTGTTTTCCTGACAAAACGGGGTTTGGAGGCCAGCGTCGGGTGACAGAGCCGCTGTCAGCTCCTGTAGCATTTATGACCCACTCAGTCAAGTAGTGTGAACGCCACAACGACTACAATGTGGCAAGTTGTGTAGTCACTCCAATCTGCATGACGCTGAAAGTCATGCAGTGTGCATGAGCCTTAAGGGACACAGAAAGTGACATTTAACTCCAAATATTCAGAGCCAAGTCTCCCAAGCTCCTGCTACTCAACAAGCCTCGACCCACCGCGTGGGCCAGACCAACACCGCTTGCAGCTTTAATTAAATTTACAGTTACTCAGTTAGCTGATGCTTTTTTTACAGCGATTTCCTTTTGCTATTTATATCAGAGGAGCAACGAAGGGTTAAGTGTCTTGCTTAGGGACAAGTTGATGGATGTGTCAGTGGGAATCAAACCTGGGACTCTTATCCACTGCGCCAACGCCACCCCATGTTTTCTGTAAATGCTCATTGGTTTAGGACGTCCGGCCTGTCTCCTGTACTCGACGCCCCACCACTTGTTGAACGCCCCTCTGCCCTCTGAGTTTGGATGAGGAGGTTTACGTGACTGATTAATCCACCTGATGAACCATCTGCAGATTTTCTCTTCAGGGGACAGGTTGTGCTCTCTTTCTTGTTGGTGTTTATTTGGACTAACATATGTTGCACATCAACCCCGTCTCCCTCTGTCCTCATGTCCTGTCTGTCTCTACTGTCTCCTACAATAAAGACTAAAATAGCCCCCAAAACACAAACTAACTACATAGAAGTTATTATGTTGTGTTTAGAAGTGACTGAGCTGTCATCATTACCGAAAAACATCAATACAAATACAGTGAATTAATGTTGGGTCATGACATTACACAGAGCAATAATAATCATAATAACAATAATAACAACAAGAAGCAGAATTTTGTAAAAAGCTTTTCTAAGCATGTTCTAGATATCTGGACTCCTTTTCTGAAATGTCTAAACAGCAGTATTACGTTCTCATTTATAGATTTCATACTTAATTTTGCATGCTCTATTTCATTTTATCATTCTATCTTTACCTCATTTTAATTCATTTAAAATAGCCACTTGATTTCATGCTTTTATCTTTAAGCTATTTTCTCAGTGTTGTAAGAGAATGAAAATAAAATTTAAAAAAACTATACATTGGTTTAACCACAGTAAAGCTACCTCTGTACACCTACAGTCCTACAGTTTTTTTTACATTTTGCATGTTCATCTATCTGTTTAAAATGCTCTACATATAAGAAAAAAAGTAATAAAATTTAAAACCCACCTGAATGAGTTCCTACACCAGTGCCTGATATTTTGTCCTCTGCATCCAAACCTGAAATATGGCCAGTATGACAGCAGTTTGATGATAGTCTACACCCGCTCTTCTAAGTAAAAGGAGCAGCATGAATATGTAAATAATGCATCACAGATATCGAACACATATAGAAGGTTAGTGTGCCAAAGAACCGTCACACTCCTTAACATTTATTTGACTAAGAAATGTGCATGTGGTAGGTAAATGGCCACAGTGCTGTCAAACCTGTAGATGTTTTCTTTTGCTCTCCAGTTATTACTTATTACTCTTCCTGAGAAATCTGGATTTAAAAGTCTAATCAAACTTTGCATATTAATTTAATAATAATAATAATAATCTTCATTAATAGAGAACTTTTCAAAAAACATGTTACAAAATGCTTTAAGATGTACAACAGATAAAAACAAGAAAACACAAATTTAAATGTAGTTAAAAGAAAATAAAGAATTAAATTTTTTCCTGTCCACTCACTAGGCCACCACCACGACCACTGACCCTGGGTTGGCTGAAACAATCATACTGAGGCGGACACATCTGGTTAACTCTGACTGTCGTGAACTGAATGAACAGGTGTGCTGAAAGCTGCAGTGATGTTGACAGATACCTGTCCTGCTTCTCTCACACATTACAATCTGAAAGGACACAAACTCACTATCGACATAAACTATTTTTCCTGTGATTGTGCTAAAGTTACACTGTGAACAACAAATCTGTGCTGAAATCACAGAAATCCTGCTCTCACACGAACATACACACATCAAGTTAAACATTGTCACCTGAGGCAGTAATAAAAAACAAAAACAACATATGGACTTCACAGTCACACACATGAATACAGTCTGTTCCATACATTTACATTGTATTGCACAGGTATATGAGAAACTTACCACATGATTCATTTAGAACCTGAGTAACGCTAAAAACCACTGATTCTGTTCAGTTGCACTTGATGCTCATAAAAGTTACGAACAACAAAACAAACATTAAAATAAAAACAACCACAAGTTCTAGAAAAATAAATAACCCATTTAAGAACAAGGTAGTTCACATTTTCTACTACTTGCAAACAAGATAAATAGTAAGCTTTAATAAAAATACATACAGAACATACTGTTGGGATAACAGGGACAGTTGTTCATTTGTGATCTTAAGTCATTGAACTCAGTTCCCAAGGAATCCTCCAAATGTCCCAAAGACATGTGATCTCAGCCTAGAGACCCAGCTGCAGCTTTGATTGGTCAGTGACCTGTGACAACTCATTGATAAAAAATATAGGTCTCTTCTCTCCCTTGGCTCTGCGGCCTCCCAGCTTGGCTTGTTCAGCCCGGACACCGAGCAGACCTCTCTGATCTTACAGCCACAACACAAGGCCCAGCTTCAGATCCTGCAACCAGTTACTCTGAGGAGAACAGACAGAGAGGCCCGACCCTCTCATCTGTATCACGACGCAGCAGAGACTACAACTACAGACACATTTTGGTACACAAGTTGCAGAGTTGTTGATGTCATACACGTAGAACCGTGACGGACAAAATAGTACAAAATCACGTATCGCATGTACATTTGTGCAATTTGTGATATGTTATTGGGGTTTAACTGTTAGTTTTCTGTCTGTGTAGAGTGATCAAGAATAATTCGGAAAGTTATTTATTAGCAGTATTTGCAGTACAAGCAGTATTTTACGGGTTTCAGGTAAAGTTCTGGTGCACAAACAACTCTGGGGCAAAACATTACTTTGTGATAGAAAGCTTCTGTTTCAGCACACTTGGATGACAATGACAATCCAACACATCTTTGTAGTAGCATCAATGTGGTTTCCACACTTAAATGCACATGAAAATGTGTTTATTGTTGTTGTTGGACAGAATAGGATGCAGTGGAGAGCAGAACAGCGGAGCACAGAATAGCAGGAGAACATGTTTGTGGCATAAACAAACTGAACTACATCTTAACCATAATTTTTTATTTCCCCGCAGTTTCTGGTTGTTATAAAACACCTGCCTTTTCCCCCAAGCTCAATCATGATGCTTCCCACACAGACTGACACATACTGGAAACGCATTCATATAAATCATCATCTACACACCAGGGAATAAAGAGCATAGATGTCTTATTTCATGGTCACATATAAGACAGCATGACTCCATTTTGTAGACATCAGAGCTGCTGTGCTGTGAAGTGATGCTGATGTAGTCAAACATGTAAAAACTAACAAAGTTGTTCCACAAGGTGGTGATGTTGCAGTACTCATGGTAGTCCATCAGTGAGCTGGTGTTGCTGTTATTATAGCTGTCAGACAGTGAGGCGCTGTAGGCATCTTTAGAGGAAAGGCTGCAGGTTACTTAGCGTGTAAAGAGTAAAGATTTAGGACAGGAGGAGATCACATAGAAAATAAAATGAGGTGTTCGTTAACTGTGCACTTAGTTCCAACTCGATGCCTGCCAGGATCTAACTTGTTTTATTTTATTTTAATGGAATAAAAAATCTTTTGCACCAATTTTTGATTGTCTCCAGTTTTTGGACTACAAGTTATTGACTGTTTTGGTGAGTTTCTTAAAGTAGTGGAGACGTGTTTTGGGTCTCTAGCTGGCCTAGCCCAGACTTAATCTCCATCGCTTTCTATTGGCCTCCATTTCTCCTCCTGTTTCCTCCCCTTTCTCTCTCTCCCTCTTTCTCTGCCTACATGAAGCTGACTGTGGAAATGTTGTCATCATTCATACTGATGGACTGCTGATATCATTGCTGTCCATTCTGCAGCAACACCCAGAGGCCAAAAGCTTGTCTATGGTCCCTTTCCTCATGAAGACATACAGGAACAAGTCTGCAAGAGGATTCAACCTAACAAACATGTGGGACAGGTAGTTAAGGGTCGTATTAGAGTCTACTTCCAGGTACCGAATGATTCTGGGCAGGAACAGCAGCGTGTAAATAAGCAGCACCAGAACCAAAACTCCCACAATTCTTCGTTTTTCATCAGAGGGGACCGAGATGGAAGCAGACAGGGCTTTGAGGGTCCCAACCAGGAAGAAGATTAACAGTGGGAAGGGAAGGAGGAGGAAGACGGCCGAGATTTTGTTTGCAACCCCATTACCAGCAAAGACATAGTAAAGGACGACACAAAGAAGAGAAAGGACCCAGACCAGGACACAGATCGCCACAGAGCTCTTGATGGTTCGTCTGAAGCGGTACCACAGTGGGTGGGCGATGACCAAATACCTGTAATACAAGATGGACACAAAGTCTTTGAGGAGCTTCAGAGTTATAAACTAATATAATGTTCAGACACAGAAGCAGCTCCACACATACTGGATAGACAGACAGATACCTTTCCAGGGCGACGCAGACCATGAAGTTAACACTGCCAAACCGACCAAATTGATAAATATTAGTGAAGATGTCACATATCTTCTTATCCACATTTGGTACCACCTCAACGATCATGCAGCAGAGCTGAATCAGGTCGGTAATGAGAAGGTTGATGACGTAGATGGGAGCAACATGATCACTTCTCACCTGCAGGAAAACATTGGTAAAAGTCAACAAGCAGTTGGAAACATGTTGTGAAGTCCACCTCCTCCCAAATCTGTCATCCTGCTCTGCCCAGCAGCTGCAGTCAGAGCCATTTCTGACTTTTTCATCCAACAGGAATCTCAGATATGACCCACTGGCCAATCACTGCAGGAACAAGACTAAGGGCCAGATTTCCTGCAGCTTCTGCAGCAGTTTTTCAGCAACAGATATGAAGCGTTCTGGCTCAAACACATGCAAGCAAAGCAGAGAGAAAAGGGTCAACAATGTGTGTTTGTGAAAGACTGGAAGTTTGTGATGATGTTGTTACTGACTGTTTGTGTGGGTGTGTCACTCGCTGAACACAGGAAATAGGAGTTTTAGGCCCATTGCAGACACTGGTGTAGAGCAGGGACTTTACCACAAAGCAAGTTCAACATACTCAGGTTATCATACCAGGTTATCTGGCTTCGCTAAAACTAACAACAAACTAACTCGGTAAGTCATGAGCTAGTTCGCATAAAACAGATGACCATTTGGAAACATGGACAAGTCTACTGGCAGCATTGCGTCATATTTTAAAATCCCGTAGCAAACTGTAATATTTGGCAAATATGGTCTGAATAACGCAGCTACAGCTGAAACATGCAGGAAAAATCAAAGACAGTGTGAATGCCTAGGCTAAATGAACAGGCGTAGCCAATAATATGAATGCGTTGATTTGATGTGTTCTAATGGTGCGTGTGACAATTTTAGCTTTATTCTTTCAGCTCGGCTTTTTGTCTGCATTTTCATATTAAAAGCCCCGGGCACTGAATAGGAATCTGTCCTACAGTCTGCTGTACAGACAGGAACAAAATGTACATACCATAGAATAAAGAGCATAGATGGCCACAAGGGTCAAAGGAAGGCCGATACCAATGATTATGAATTTCACCACATTCATGATGAGTGGAAGGGTGCTGTAATTCTGGCAGTTGGAGGTGATGTTGCTGTAATCAGAGCTTTGGTTTTGTGAGGTGCTGTTAATGTAGAGACCTTCCATTCTTCAGTGAAACCTGTTTGAGAGATCAGGTTATTAAAGGGAGCAGGTTTTTAATATCTACCTAACATTGTTCAGTGACATCACTAAAGCTGTGAGGTGAAGTTCACACAAACACAGTGTCCCTATAGTTTACCCACAATCATATCAAATCACAAACTGCTGTCTTTCACTTTCTATCATCATTCCTCAACATTTGTTACATTTAACTTTTATTTAATCAAATAGGAAAAGAATAACAAGTTCTAATAAACAAATATTTTTACTATATTAGGGCCAAAGAATGAAAGATGCGAGGACCCCATTAATCAAAACTACAATATTCAAACGGTTTTAAAATTTCAGTGTCACATGGTTGTCATGCATGGGCATGGCAGACCTACAAAAAAAAAGCCTCTGGAAGTGATGCCCTGAACCCAGTGGTCATGTCTGGGGTTTTACAGGGTATACTTTAACAAACTCCTCATAAAGAATTTGCGCAGTCTAAAAGCATTGACAGTAAAAGGTTGTGCCATCTGTGAGTTTTTGTCTCAGTGTCCGTGGGGTGGCGTCAAAAATCGATGACTTGCCATGAAAGAGGTTGTTATAACTTCAGTGTGCATGCTCAGATCAGTATACCTGTTCAAACTTTACATGTTTGATAAGACTGAACACAACACAATTCGTGCAGAGGGGCACAACATATAATTTGCGAAGGTTGCCTAGTGCCACCTAAGGGATACAGGAAATGACATTTAACTCCTTTGTGACCGCTCCAAAACGCACAATAATTCAGAACCCCGTCTCCCAATCTCCGGCTTGACCAGCCTGGACGTGCATCCCACCGCGTGGGCCAGACCAACACCGCTTGCAGCTTTAATTAAATTTACAGTTACTCAGTTAGCTGATGCTTTTTTTACAGCGATTTCCTTTTGCTATTTATATCAGAGGAGCAACGAAGGGTTAAGTGTCTTGCTTAGGGACAAGTTGATGGATGTGTCAGTGGGAATCAAACCTGGGACTCTTATCCACTGCGCCAACGCCACCCCATGTTTTCTGTAAATGCTCATTGGTTTAGGACGTCCGGCCTGTCTCCTGTACTCGACACCCCACCACTTGTTGAACGCCCCTCTGCCCTCTGAGTTTGGATGAGGAGGTTTACGTGACTGATTAATCCACCTGATGAACCATCTGCAGATTTTCTCTTCAGGGGACAGGTTGTGCTCTCTTTCTTGTTGGTGTTTATTTGGACTAACATATGTTGCACATCAACCCCGTCTCCCTCTGTCCTCATGTCCTGTCTGTCTCTCTCCAACAATAAAGACTAAAATAGCCCCCAAAACACAAACTAACTACATACAGTGAATTAATGTTGGGTCATGACATTCCACAGAGCAATAATAATCATAATAACAATAATAACAACAAGAAGCAGGATTTTGTAAAAAGCTTTTCTAAGCATGTTCTAGATATCTGGACTCCTTTTCTGAAATGTCTAAACAGCAGTATTACGTTCTCATTTATAGATTTCATACTTAATTTTGCATGCTCTATTTCATTTTATCATTCTATCTTTACCTCATTTTAATTCATTTAAAATAGCCACTTGATTTCATGCTTTTATCTTTAAGCTATTTTCTCAGTGTTGTAAGGGAGTGAAAATAAAAAAAACTAAACATTGGTTTAACCACAGTAAAGCTACCTCTGTACACCTACAGTCCAAAGCTGTTTAAAATGCTCTACATATAAGAAAAAAAGTAATATGACAAAATTTAAAACCCACCTGAATGAGTTCCTACACCAGTGCCTGATATTTTGTCCTCTGCATCCAAACCTGAAATATGGCCAGTATGACAGCAGTTTGATGATAGTCTACACCCGCTCTTCTAAGTAAAAGGAGCATGAATATGTAAATAATGCATCACAAAAAGGAACACATTGAGAGCATTAGCGTGCCAAAGAACCGTCACACTCCTTAACATTTATTTGACTAAGAAATGTGGATGTGCTGTCACACCTGTTGTTGTTGTTGTTTTCATTTGCTATCCAGTTATTACTTATTATTACAGAAATCTGGATTTAAAGGTTTAATCAAACTTTGCATATTTTATCTTCATTTTACATAATATCTTCTCTGACAACACCATTTTACATAAAGGTGAACTGTTAACCACCATTTTAGCATGAAAATGAATCAGGAGAAACTGCAGGCCGACACATTCACTCTGTCTAACAACACAAACATACAGCTTGGTGAACAGAAATGTCAGAAACACTGAGTCTCCTATTGCACTCCGGACATCTAGATAACTCTGTGCACTACACAACCTTTACAGGAAGGATCATTAACTGTCTACGACTTGTCTTTGGTTAGGCGTCTTTCCCTCTTAGAGACCTTTATAAATAATCATATTGTCACAACACATTAGCTGTTGGGGATCAACGTAGGGGCAGGTTTGGTTATTAGCTGAATATCAATTCTAGAAATATTAGTAAAGTTATTAATATCATACATTCTTAATTAGGCTTAATAAAAACAGGGCACCACCCTGGAACCAGGGACCAGTAGCCAAACCTTAAAGCACTCTGAAGAAGAAGAAGAAGATTTATTTATTAATAGGGAACTTTTTAGCAAGTGCAAAGACAATAAAACACAGATAAAACAAGAAAACACAAATCAAACAGAAAAACAAATTTTGTGTGAATTTTGTCCTTCATTGATTTGAGGTCCGGAGCACTGTTCTAGGATGTTTAAGCTGACTTCAGAGATTGCTGGTCCGCCTGTTGAATGCCTCTCTGCCCTCTGTATTTGAGGATGGAGGCTTGAACCTGGTCAGTCCAGTTGTTGAAACACCTATGCATTTCATTGTTTGTAATTCTGAAAATGATGTGAGAGAACTGAACTGAACATTGACGCATTCACAATGTCTAACAACACTACAAATAATTCAACTCAGATGTTAGGACTAAGCTCCCATCCCTCAGCACAAGATGGTCTAGAAGGGACAGCTTTGCGTATTGATTTGCATTCCCTGGACCACAACAATGGGTTTCCTCCACCAGAGTTTGTTTTCTCCTCCACATCCGCACAGTCCACAATAATGAGAAACCTGAGATGTGTTCCTGGCTGTTGTAACAGCAGCAGTTGTTGTGGTCGTTCTAGTCACCTGAGACCAAATGCGAGCGTTTGTTCAATCTCCTGGGAAAGACACCTTTGTGGTGTCGCAGACTTTCTCCCCTGTGGAAAAATGGCTTCTCTACTGTGGTGTCAGGTTCTTTCACTCCTCTTCCAAACAAGCAGTCAGAATAAGAAATACTTCATTATTCCCCGAGAGAAAATTCTTGCGTCACAGTTGCACACATTACACATCAAGGCACAAAAGAATAGAAATAATAAAATAAGTTGGTCAGATTGCTTTAATAGCAGAAAAATAAAAAATCAATAAATTGATAGCGGCTGATGCTGAAATAGACACTCACATAACACACACGTGTCCATAGGTTTATAAATGCGGATCAAACGCCGGGACGCGCACACACTGCAACACATGTTGTTAGGTTAATAAGTGTGCAGTGTGTTTCTTTACCTGATATACAAGACTCAATTTAAAAATACAGTAGGCTACTGGTAAGAACATTTTCCGAAGTAATTATATTGTAATTGTATTGTGTAATGTGTTATGTAATTTCAGTACTTGCACTACAAAGTATTTAAATTTAATTTCTGCTCCACTACATTTCAGAGGGAAATGTGGTCATTCTTACTGCACTGCATTTATAGTTACTTTATTTTGACATATGTGACACTAGGTTGAAAAAATCTGCAGTTCTCAACCTTTTTTGCTTGTGACCCCACAAGCTGCGTGTAGTTAGACCCCTTGTCGTGTATTAGATGTCTAAATTGTAATTAGTTCCGACTGGACTCAACCTATGAATATAGTTAAAGTAGTTCCAACTACTACTACTACTAGCTACTGCTTCACTGTCCATCCACTATGACTGCTTTTGAGCACCAAGCATCATTGAAAACTTGTGTTGTTTTAATAAAGAAGTGAGTCAATAGTCCTTCTTGTTTCATTACTTCCTGCAGTGTTGAAAAAGCATACATTTTAAAAATGTGTCTTGGTCTTGACACATTTTCAATCAATCAGCGTTTCAATGTAAACCCTGGTAATAAATTTCATTCATTCATTTCATTTCCTGTGACTGCTTCACAATAAAAATCACCCCGTGTTCCTTCAGTTGAATGTTTTAAATATGAGCAGCAGCAGTTAGCATTAGCAGAAACTTGTGCAGCTGTTAGAGAGTGAGCAGTTAACAGTGATGGATTCGTACATGCCTGCTTCTCAAACTTTTAAAAGACAAAAGCAAGTAAAGTTAAACTCCTCACTGTGCCTCATTCATATATTTCAAGCAGGAGAAGAAATCTTTCCTGCAGCTCACATTACAACAGGCCATTTAGCTTGTGGCTTTTCAGTTCGGTCTTCACATGAGCAGACTTCCAGTCTGTGTGAATGGGTTTTTATCCATCAGGTTAGCCAAAAGCTTTTCAGTAAAGTGTGCAGAGTTGATGAAATCCTCTCCCAGTGATGCCTGAACAGTCAGAGATCCAGCATGAAATATAAGAGGTTAGTTTGGAAGGGATCAGTGGACCAACCAAACGGGTATTTCTGTCTGAGGAGAAGGAAATTCCATCTGAGAGCTCTGAATGGAGCTAAATACTGAATTAAGTGTGTAATTTCTATTGTCATCATGTATGATTAAATAATTATAATTTATTTATCATCATAACTGTGTACACTGTGCAGCTTATCAAGTCATTACTTTAAGCTTTTAGCAGTTTATCTTCCTAAAATGCAGTTTGCTAGTTTCCAAAGTGTCCCCTGCAGAAAGCCAAAGTATTTAAAGAAACAGTCTGACAGTTT